CGGCGGCTCAGGGCGGGGGGCAGCGGCGGCCCCGGCCCCCCCCGTAGCTGCGGGCACGGAGCGAGGCTGGGGGGCAGCCGTGCTGTCCGGGCTGCGGCCCGTTGCGGTGGTACCGCATACGCACCTCCTTCTGCTCGTACATAGCAGCTTGCGTGTCGTGCTGGCATCATCGGTATGAAAAAGCAAGGAAAAGCTGAGGCTACGCTTGCGTTACATGTGTGGCGTGTGGATTTATTTCATGGCTCTTCTCCTTTGAGAAGACCAAGGGCAGAGCTGTGCAGTTCGCGCAGAGCCTCAGAGATGTGGTCCCGCCCGATGGAAGCGAGGCGTCGCGGTGCCGCTCTCAGCTTTGTAGCCGTTTCCTTGCCGAGGCTGCTGTCAGCCCCGCTGGGTGCAGTGTAAGGCAGCCCCCGGATCAGGTTTTCGAATGGTCTTCAGCAAACAATAGCTGCTTGCTGGTAGGTGCGGGGCTCCCCTGCAAACCTGGCCCTGGCTGCGCGCTTTGCCCTTACGTGCTTCAGATCCTATTCAGGAAATGGAGACCCTCCTTCAATTCTCAGCTGGTGCAGAATGGCCCCGGGCTGGCGTTTGCTCCCTCAGGAGCACGTTGCTTTACAGGAAAAACGCACGAGGAATAATGATGTATTTTTTTTTAATATGTGAGAAGAGTAAAATTCAGCGTACACAACAACCTCTTTGTCGTTTTACAGCACGCGTTTAATAGCTCACACCGCAGCGAGGGAAGGTCCGCGTTCAGCACTGCCGGTGTGAGCGCTGCCCCTTACTGCAATCCGCCTCCTGGGAAGGTTTTTCCCTACGGAAGCGTGCGCTCAAAGACCAATCGTTTGGTTGCGTGCGTGTTTATCTCTAAGGACAGACATTATTCCGAGGGGGAGCAGCAGCTGTGGGTCGTGGGCAGATGCAGTTTGACGAGGAAAGGACAGAAGAAAGGGAATCTCTAAAGAATTATCTGAGCTGTACTCAAAACACTACTGAGTTCAAATACACAGGATTGATGCTTTCTCTTTAGAGAATATGGCTGTTCATGGCTTGCTTTGTTATTGGTAGGCTTTACAGTGTGCTTTTTGAAGGTCGGGAATTCTGTCTGGTTTTGAAAATTAGCAAGTAAAGGAAAATAAAAGGAAATACAGTTTTAAGAAGCTGGGAGGGAGACCCTCAGAATACAACGTGATGGAATTATAATTCCTCAAGAATTACCTTTTGCTGCATGAAGCCGGCTCAACGATGAAAGGCCCAATGCCTGAACAACACACCTGCCCTGATTTCTCACCGTGCTTCTTGGCCCTTGTTTCTGTGTGAGGTTCGAATGTTGCTTTGAGTTCTGCAGTAACACTGCAGCAACGTGAGAGCCAAACATCACTGAACTAAAAGCTTTTATGTATGAATGCTGATTTCTGTGTTGAGTGATTAGTACAGTAATGGTGAGGGCAGATCACAGTTGCGATAATCATTTCCCCATGAGACCCAAACTGCAAAATCCACCCTGGGTGGCACCATATGCTTCTGCAGGGTTTGACCCTGCGAGGACTCAGGCCATAGGGAGACTAAGAAATGTTGGGATGTTTACTGATGTATTGTGTCAAATATCTGTGTGATGGGCACTAGGAGAGCGCTCCTCTATCGCATTGCTGACAGCAGTTACGGGCCTCTCTGATAGCTGGAGGTAAATGGGAATGGTGACTATACTGGCAAAATGGTGACTGCTGTGTTGACAACTGGTGTGTGACCCAGCCACAGCCTGAACTGGGGCTGTGCTGAGATGCTGAGCTGAAGTGCCACAGAGCAGGAGGCAGAAAAGTGTGTGCTGAGATGGAGGGGTGTGAGGGCTGAGCACTGCTGGTGTGGGGCTGCTCCCCCAGGAGTTTCTGCTTCCGTGAGCTCCCCTGTGCAACCCAGCAGGGGCGGCTGGAGCAGACCTTGTATTGCTGTGGGTGAGGGGCAGTGCCAGACCCGTTCCCACAGTAATGCAATGGGAAGGAGAGGTGCTGGGCTCTATCTTGCTTTGAAACACTGCTGTGTATGGCTGCTGTCCAAAGCCTGGCTTGCTGATATGAGGCAGCAGCGTCCCCTCTGCTCCAAACTCCTCCGCAGACTTTGCAGTCCACCCTGGAGGTGACTAAATGTCATTATCTCAGTGACACGGGCTGCTATCTCAGCTGTCCGCTGCTGCGGTGCGGATGAAAGCTCCGTGCTTCCTGCTGCCCTATCAGGCACCTGTTGTCTGTACCCAGACATTACTCACATCCTTGAAGTCACATCTTATTTTACATAATTAACACTGACTCTTCTCCGCTTCCTTCCTTCCCTGGTAGGGGAAGGCTCTGTGCTCCATGGCTTTACCTGGCTGTGGAGGCACTGGCTCTTATATTTGAGCTCTAGCACAAGGATTGAAAGTATCTGCTGCTGCAAGGCGTGGGCTCACAGCCAACAAGGATGTCACAGCCTGGTCTGGGGATGCCCTTCAGTCCTGAACTGGCGCTGCAACCGCAATCTGTTGTGTGCTTCTGTGCCACTTCCTCAGGAGCAGATTTCAAGCAAGCAAACCAGAACCCAAACAAAGTTCTGTTCGCCCGCAGGGTGAGCTGGGAGGTTGTGCTCAGAAGAGGAAGGCAGCACCTGAGACGAAGGGACACAACGCCTCAGGGCAGGCTGGGGGCTCCTGAGGCACACTGGGGTGTCCCCAGGGGGAAATGTTTTCTGAGGCACGTCCCCTCGCTGCTGCTGTCAGGTGGCTCCCGGTGCCTGCAGCTGACTCATGGCAGCCTATGAGGGCTGTCTCTGAGATGGAATCATTACACCAGCACTTTGCTTTCTGCAGTAGTTCACCATTGACTTCTGTTTCGGTATTTGCTTCAGCTTTTAATATCTATTGACCTGGTTCTACATGAATAATTTAGTGTTTATGAACAACTGCAGTAACCAAACCTATGCCATTAACTAAACCATGAGCTCAGCAAAACCGGATAAAAATTCATGAAATATAAAATGAGGGCTACAGGGTCTCCGTGGAGCTGAGCCCCCAAACATGTAACTGCTCACTGCTCAAGCGAAGGACTCCTCCATCTGCAGACGTGTGCAGTTAGCTGCAAGTGCTGCAATACACTTCCCAGTCACAGCACTGGGATTATTGGGTTGCAAGCCTGATGCATGCATGTTTTCTGCAGGATCAGGTATTACAGTTCTTTAGTTCTTGCACTTTTACCTGACTTGCCTGGCATCCTTCCTTCCAGTTGAGCACGCTGTCTTTGCATTTGCTTTTCAAAACGTTGCCAGTTTGAAGATGTTCTCTGATTTGTTTCCTTTCTTGGCGGATGGCAGCCTGGGTGATGCTTTCTCTCAGTCTCAAGATCTGACCTCAGCGGAGCAGAGGCATTTGCAATTCACTGAGATGAAAAATGGCAAATGCAGAAGTTGGTGCCCTACAGGAATGAAGGTTTTTAGATTCGTGACTGTGCATAGCTGTAGTTTGCAAGGGTAGAGGTGGAGAGGAAGGTAGGGGCTGGCAGTAATGAGCAGACAGGATCCTCTGCTGAAGCTGCTGTGATTTTTGCCGCTGCCCAACTGGCAGAGCAACAGAGTGTGTTATCAGGCAGAACTCTGGGAATCTGAGATACGGATTTTGCCATCACAGGCTTTGGACGCGATGCTGGATCTGCTCAGTAGCAGTGCAGGGGAACGGGGCTGTTTACCTGCAGGGAGATGGGTGAGGGGCTGTGGAGAACCCTGCCAACTGTTTGGGATTGAAAAGATGATCTCAAGGACCGTAAATCGTGAACCTTTCTAATATTTTTCAGAATATTTATTTACAGTTCAGGTCAATAATCTCCAGAAATGCAGTTCTGCTTACAAACAAAATTCCTGGGCTGCATTCCCAGGCATTCCCATGTGACTGGAGCATTTTTAGCAACAAAACGAACAAATGCAAACCTATGTTCTGGGCAGTGGAAGCATTTCTGTTCCCATTGTTCCTATGTGCCCAGGAGCCACGGCAGCGTGCTGAGGGCTGAGCAGGGCAGTGGCTCTGGGACAGCTGGGCTATTGAGTGTGCAAGTGCAAGGGAACAGCGGCTCTCTGCCCATTACCTGCTGGCATCGCTTCCTCCAAAACCTGTCTGTTTACTCATGACTAAGAAAATGAATTTTCATACAGAGAAAATTGTGTTACCTGACAAACAAAGCAGCGTTGTGGAAAAATACTGGCATTAAAAGCCACCGTGACTGTGGAGCAGTGCTACAGAGCTTGTGGCGTTCACAGCGCTGCTGCAGGGCGCCGTGATCCTGGAAAATCCGCTGCTGGGATTGTTCTCAGCTCTCCAGAGGTGGGCCCTTGTCAGTGGGTACCTGGACAGCTTGCTGCCTCCTGCCTGTGCCTCGTGCTGTGCTTGGAGCCACCTGGAGCAGAAAGCTGTCCCTCCTTCCTCAAATCCTGCGTGATTTTCCCTGCAAGGCCCCATTGAGAAATAACGCAGTTAATGAGCAGCAAAGCGAGCGCTTCAGTATCACCTCATTTTTGCGTGTGTATTGCAGTGAATGGGTGTAAAGCAGACAGCAAATTCGCCTTTATTTTGACAGGAATAAGGTCGATACATCCTGCCTGATACAGATGGGGACACTGACTGTTCAGAGGCATGAACATTGTAGCCTTTCAGCTACAACTTAACTGCTGCGGTAGTAACAGTGTTTTTGCTAACCAGTTCCTATCGTTTCTGAGGTTAAGGTTTAAAATGCTCTGTATAGTAGAAGCTTTCCATATTGCAGCTCCTTCCTGTGTCCGCAGGGTTGGGGATGATTAACTGCATATCTTAACAACAGCTCCTTCTGCCCTCTGGCATGAATGTAGTTTGATGTGGCCCTGGCTTAATCCCCCGTGCCATCATTTTCAGCTTTCTGACTCGATGTGTGCAGATAGCTCATAGCAGCTGTTAATGATTCACAGCCCTGATTTCCCTCCAGGTGAGATTACAAAGCTGCCCTCCTCGCAGAAGGAAGGGGCCGAGGTGTGCAGCTCCCAGAGCAGCTGTGCCGTGGGGCGGCTCTGTGCCCCCTGCAGTGCTGGGCGCTGCAATGGGAGCAGATGGAGCCCACCTGTGGAGCACTGCTGGGCTCTCTGGAGTCACATCCTTGTATGTAATTACCGTATTCTAACACTTCAATATTTTCCTGACTAATTTCTTCCTGTCCCGGCTTTGCAAATAGCTGGCTTATAATCAATAAGAACTTACAGACTGGAAAAGTACACGATTTCAAAAGATTTGTTTAATGCTTAGAAACGACTTTTCTTTGGGGGCTTGACCTGTCACCTTTCACAGGATTTACATTTATTTATTTTTTTCCCCTTTTCAGCCAGCAGCCCTAATGCTGTGAACACCCCCAGCTGCTGCAGCTCTGCCTGGTGGACGGTGCAGCAACGAGGAACCTTAACAACAGGAAGAAAAGTAAATGTTTAATGATTTGCCTTTAACAGATCTCAGAACGCTTTTCCTTCATGCTTTGCTGCTTATGAGATCTTTGGATGCCTCTGTGTTCTCTTTCTCCCCGTTCTTGGCTTTCCTCTGGGTTCTCTTCCCTGGAGGCAGTGGTGCTATGGATCCTTAGGACGGGCAGTCTGGGCAGTGGGGTGTCAGACGATGCATTTCCTGTGTGCAGCAATCAGTCCTTCTCACTCACAAACAAAGGCAGATAAGCATTAGAAATTAATATTAGCTCCCTTCTGCATGCCCTGTTTTCCTGACCTTGAGGAGCAGAGGCCGGGCAGCACCGCATCGATCTGTGGACAGGGGAAGGAATGGGGCTCAGGAGCTCCTTTGTGCTCTGAGAAATGTGAACGGAGCGCGCTGCATGGAGCTGTGGTGCAAGCTGGGGCCGTTTGGAGGTAGGAAGTGGTCAGCTTTGTACCTCCCTGCCAAAGAAAACTGCTGACTCTTTGAATGCAATATTGACATTAAGGTTTGGAGGAGGATGTGCAGAAAGGAGAAGGCCTGGGGCTGTTGGTGTGATGAGGTGAGCAGGCAGATTCTGAAGCCGTGTTTTGCTGAATGCTGCATCCCTCCACACCCCTGCATGCTGCTGTCTTCTGCAGCCATTATGTGCAGCTGTGCTTCCAGGGCAGCCTTGGTTGCCCTACTGGTGGCTGGCCCTGAGAAATTTGTTTCTGTTCATAGAACCATAGGATCATTCAGGTTGGAAAAAAACCTCTCAGATCCCCAGGACCAACTCCAGCCTACCTCACTGTGCTCACTGACCGCATCCCCACGTTCTGCAGTACCTCCAGGTTGGTGACTCCCCATCCCCTGAGCAGCTGTGCCAGTGCTGACCACTCTTTTGGGGAAGAAATATTTCTTAATATTCAACCTGAGCTCACTGACAAACCATCCTCAGCGGGTACAGATATTTCCCTGCACCTCAGATCTGTCCTCTGCTGCATCTCATTTGGCTCCCACTGGCTAGTGCATGTGATAGACTCATCTCAGCTGCAGCATCCTTTGTTTCTGCTCCTCATCAGCTTTCTGTTCTGTAAGATGGGGTGATTGGCATGAAGATTCCTCCCCGCCCCCAGCTCCTGCTTGCACTGGGAGGCTGTAGAGGAGTGCCAGCCTTACTGGGCTGCTGCCGTGCCCCAGTGAGCTGACACACATCTGCCGTGAGGGACTTTGTTGGGCTGAGGTTCATTGGGAGTGAAGGGAACAAATTAAGGAGAAATTCAGTCATTGCTCTGACAGGAAAACCCAATGAGGACACAAAGACTTAATGATGCGTGTGGGCAAAAATAGGTCAAATATCGAGAGTGATGGGATGTGAGGGTGAAGTTCCTCTGAGGGAAAGCATGCCGAAGTCCTGGTGCACATCTCACAACATGAGCTTTTGTGCACAGGGCAGTGTAACAGCCTTTCAGATCTATGTGGCAGATAGAAAATGCTTGAGGAATGAGGAATTAGAAGAAAAGCTGATATACAAAGTAAGGTCTTGTTGGCTCTGGGTTACAGGAGCTGTGGAAGTTCAGTTCAACCTAAGACCTCTGCTTTTCAGCATAGAAGCTTAGTTTACTTCCAGGGCTGTTGAGTTATTTCTGACTTTTTGGTGTTCAGTGGAGTAGTTTCAAGTTCACCGCTTGAAATGGGAGGATTAGGATTCATAAGACTGAAGGTTGAAAACTTCAGTTTTGGATTATGCCCTTTGTTGGCAGGAGATGCAAAGGCCCGGGCCTGTTAAACTTCTGTCTCTTTGAATAGCAAGGTAGAATCTCCCAGAAGAAACATAGTGGACAGGAGCAAGTTATTGCATGGTCAGCTGATCCCGTGCTTCATCTCAGCCCAGCCCAAAGCCAAGTCCTGGCTATCGGCCTCATCAGTCACTCATAAGCTATGAAATGAGGTTGTGGCAATTGAAAGCCTGATACAACCCACTTTGTTATTAAGATGGATTACTTTAAAGAGAACGTGTGTCAACACAACCTGGAGCAGTCCTGTTCAGAGGCAGTCAGAGCTCATAGCCAGGGGTTTACCACGCGTGGCAGTGTGCTCTGGGGCTTTGGGGGAGCAGTGCATCACTGCCACAGGACGAGGAGAGCATTTCCAATGCGCCCTTATAATTCACCTTTAGGATGGGGTGTTGATTCTGTTGCTGTGGGCAGAACGCCGTGCGTGACAATGGAATGGCTGTACAAACACTGCTGGTTTCTTAACACAAAAAAAATGCAGCGAGGAATTTTTAGCACGTTGTCATGCAGCACTCTGTTTCCTGGCTTGTACATTCAAGCTGTGTAATAATATTTATATACAAATGCTGACTGTGATTTTCCACCCTGGAAAAAGGAGATGTCATTTAAAAGTGCTGCGCATGATGTAAAGCAGAGACTTTTGACTTGCGTACTTGCGTATGGTGTGGGTGTGAATTTTAATTGTTTGAAAAGGGATCACTTAAAAAAATGTAACGTTCCTGCTGCATAAGCACATTCTACTGAAGTAAAGGTCATTTTGCTCTTCAGAAGTTGCTCTTGGAATGGCCGGGGAGTTCCTCGTGTTGTCTTTCCTACCGCCTCCTAAAATTTTCTGAAAAATATGAAGTCATCGATTGCCAGGCAAAAACTCTCCTCAGACCACATTTGATGCTGGGATCCAGTAATGGGAGAGCGGCAGCCATGGCTGAATGTACGCTGGCACACGGAGGAGCATTCTTCCCTTGAGAGCTGTGCTGTCCCATCTCCCAGCCTCCCGAAGCACGCGGGCTGCTCCTGCTGTGTGAATGACCACGTTGATTCCCTGAAGCTTTTCTGGAGCTGGGATTTACGAGCAGTTCCAAGGCAAAACCTCTGCTTATCGGCTCCAGCCAAGGAAGCTCTTCCCAAAATCCTCCCTATTACCAACGTGTTCCCCATCCCAATCTGCTTGGCTTTGGTTTTCACGTCACGGTCTGTGCTCCTGAGAATTGCTTGGGGGGTTGTACGTATTGAAAATAACGGCCTGCCAAGCAGAAATGTGCAAGTTCATCTTCTGATCCACGCTTGACCAAAGAAGGTTGGATCTCAGCTTTGTTTTATCCTGTTGCAGTGACAGAATCCAGATGTCAAGAGCTTAAATCTCTTGAGTTCCTGTGCTCTCCCCTCGGAATGTCGTGCAGTTGGGGCTGCCCTGCTGTGGGTGCTGCAGCTGGGGGCTGCAGGTGGGCCTGTGCCTGCTGTGCTCCTGTGCTGTCCCCCAGCAAAGACTGATGCTTTTTATTGACAGCAAAACAGGTCCAGTTGTTGTTGAGGTACTGACATAAAGAAGTGGGTGATGCTGAACAACTTGTGGATGTGTTGTGAGAGAGAGCGATCCTCCTGGCTATCTACCAGGGCTTCCAGTGGGACACTTGGATGGATGGGAGCAGCGTGGGCTGCCATGGCAGTAGGAGCTTGTTTTGACACTTGTGCTTTTCTTGTTGGGCGTTTAAATTACTGTAGCATGGTGGGGGTCAGCCTCTTCTCCCAGGTAACGGCAATAGTATGAGATATAATGGCCCGAAGTTGCGTCAGGGGATGCTCAGGTTGGATATAAGGAAACATTTCTTCTCCAGAGAGAGGTCAGCACTGGCACCGATCTGCCCAGGGGGTGGGGAGTCACCAATCTGGGAGGTGTTCCAGAACCGTGGAGATGCTGCAATGTGGTCAGTGAGCATGGTGGGATGGGGCTGGGCCTGGGGATCTGAGACGTCTTCTCCAACCTCAATGATTCTGTGGTTCAACAGGGGTCAGGCTGGGCCTGGGGCTGCTCCTTTATCTGGTGTGGAACATTCTGGTGAAGTCAGAACGCGATGTCAGTGCCACCTCTTCCCGCTGTGTGAGGGAGGACGTGGGGGGCTGGCAGGGGATCAGAGTTTTGTTGTGCCCAAATAATGGGCGATTCACTCAGAGTATCAGTATATAGAGCTGTATCTGTTCTACGTAGATTGCTTGATGCTGATTCCCTTTGAAATGATAGTTTTAAAATGAAGTAGAAATAAATAGATTTACATACAGCCTCCTTGCTCCCACGAAACCTGCAGATGGGGGCTTTGGTACCAGGGGGCTGCATGGAGCTCTGACACCTGAGCTGGTAATCGGCCGGAGCCTGGAGCACTGCCTGTGCTGGGAAAGGGATCTGTGCTGCAGGGAGAAAAAGGGAGCCCAAAGAGAGACCCCCGCTTGCAGCTGAGCTGTATCTGGTGGGAATTTTATCCTGAGCTGTGTAGGGGCTGCTGCTTTTTGCAGGCAGTGCAGCGTGGCTGTAGCAGCCCCGGCTGCTGGGGCACCGGCAACCACTGCTTCCTTCCCCAAAGCTGCTTTAAATCGGATTAGGATTTTAACAAACACTTCATGGTTTGCTCTCTGCAGGGAGGATCAAAGCCTGGGGAGGATCCTTCAGCTGTTTGCTTTTCCTTTATGCAGAAACTTTACCACGGCTGCCCTAAAAACCCCACCAAACACAACTAAGAACCCCTCCTCAGAAAAGCAAAAATGACTTCCCACAGCCTACAGTAAGGTGTTGGTTATCTGCTGGCATTTCTCCCCCTCTGCTGCAGCTGCCTTGGCAGAAGAAGAGCCTGGAGTGACGGGGCTGTTGTGTGGCACAGGTGGGTTCATGGCCTCTCATTTGTCTGTTGGTTGTTTTGTTTTTTACCTTTTGGACATCTTTTCTAAACCAGAAGTGGTTTGTCTGCCTATTGCTGCTCAGAATGTCCCGGGGCTTCTCCTGCTGGGAGGAAGCTCTGAGAGTTAAAGCTGCTCAACATCAAAATTCTTTGAAAAACCTGAAAGGAGAGGGAAAGTAGTTCTGAGGTTAAGATAAAGCCTTGAGTGTGGACCTCTGGCTCCTCCCTGCTGGTGCATGGGATGGTTTCTGAAACCAGCTGCTAGGGACCGCTGAACCTGAGAGTTCTGAGCTCTGGTGCTGCAGTGACAGCCCTCAGGGGGTCCCTGAACCACTGCCAGCTCAGTCTGGAGGGCCTGGACAGCATGAGCCCACCTGTCTGAGCCATGCCAGCGTGCCAAGGGGTGTCTGCAAGTCTAGGCTCAGGTCCTACCATGGGCTGCGTAGATGGCAGCCTGTTTTCTCCTCTCTGCAGCACAGTTTGGTTCAGCTGATGGACTAAATGCAGCATGAGGATCGAACCACACGCCACTGTATGCTCTGTAGGTGATGCTTCGGGGGCAATCATTCATTTGAGATGTTGGTACAGCAGGGATCGTTTTTCAGGCAGAACATATTGTGGGAAAGAGGCTCAGAACAGATGTACTCATAGTTGATTCCATTTATCATATTAAAAATAAAGAAAAGACAATTTCAGCTCATTTTCTGCTTATTAGTTCAAATAAACAGCTTTTCTAATCAATGTGTATGGCAAACACAATGCCTTCATAATTGGCAGTAGTGGTTCCAAAATTAATGAGACGGTCCTTGTTTATTCTCTGGTAACAAGTCAGACAGTTACTGCACTGCTCTAATCCTACACTTCTATTCCTTTGGGTACAGGGAAAAAATATGCTCTTGCTTTAAAATTTAAAGAGTTTGAGGGGTTTTGTTCCCCATCCATTTGGGTGAGCGCAGCCAGGAGTGGGAGCAGCTGCCCTGAGCACCTGAGCAGCACTGTGGGATTGCTCTCATTTATCCACAGGGCTTCGTCGATTCTTACTTCCCTTCCAAAAATGCTGATCTGATTTATGAAGTGATAGAAGAGGTCGGGAGAGTAATTTTACCTATGAGAGCATAGTGCTGTCCAAGTAATTGCCCAGGAAAAGAGAAGATCTGCTGATCTGCTGCTGCAGATGTTTCTCATCTGGATACAGACCCATTTTGGGGGGTTACTGTTTATTTTGATGCTTTATTATACTGCAATTACCAGGAAGGAAGCGATGCACAGGAATGTATATCTTTCAGTAACAGTTTGGGGGTTTAACCCCTTTCTCCCCTCTGCTTTCAATACCTGTGAGCTCTTGATTCCATTCTTTCAGCAGGAGCAGAACCTTGTAGTGCTGAGGGGTCCTGCTGGCACCTGTCACAGCTGGTGCTGCGGGCAATTTGGGGATGCCTTAATGCTCATTTTCCGAGTGTGACTAACGAGGACCTGTTGGCTTTTTTTGCCACCTAGTGCTTCTCTCCTTGCATTACTGTGAGGCTTTGGGCTGTGCAGGAAGGAGCCCCGTGCTGCTGCCTCCCCAGACAGAAGTGCTCAGAGGTGCTTTGCAGGAGTGGAATGAACTGAGCCCTGCTCTGTGTTGCTAAAGAGCTACAGAGCAAGACAGCAAACCTGAGGTATGCTGAATGGGAAGAAGCAAGCTTACTCCAATACTTTTGGATCTGGGGCTGTGTGTGACCAGGATTTTAAGCCTGGCAAATCCTTTAGAAAGATGCTGAACTTGCTGATATGTTGCACAGGGCAATGCGTGGTCACACTGCAGGCAGAGCTGCAGATCTGTTAGCTGCATGTGGAGCATTTTGTGCTCTGGGCCTGCAGCCTTCCATGCTCTGAGACACCGTAGCAATCACTCTGTGATTAAGGCCATCACTTCTAAGGATGGATTATAACTGAGGGGAATGGACAAGCTGTGGGGAGCAAACCACATTTCTCATGGTCCTTGCTCTTACCAGATTCATATTTATGGCTGGGTTTTTTTTTGTTTTTGTTTTGTTTTGTTTTGTTTTTAGCTTGCAACACTATTCAAATTTATCAGCACCAAAAAACGTCTGCAGAGAGGAGGCAGAGGCCTGACAGCATGCTGGCTGTGTCCCCACTGTGGTGCTGTGGAGCAGCGGCCCCAATGGGAGCCTGGTGTGTACTGATGGGTATTAGGAGCTCTCCCTTCCCTTCGTGCCTCCAGTCCTGGCTTGACAAATCCCTGCTGTAATGCAGCTGCTCTGCTCTGGAGGGGAGCAGGAAGGTGGGTGGATTAGGAAAAATGTCGTATTAGTGATTTTTTTCCACCAGTCCATGTCACCCTGCTTGGCCCCTTGGCCTCTCAGCTTTCCAGGCTGCTCGCCCAACGCCCCATGAGCTGAGCCCACTGCTGCCCATCTGCCTGTGGGTCCAGGGCTGCTCTCCACTCATGCTAGGGAGGCTGTGGGGCTGGGAGCTCTACAGAGCCTTGTAGTTGTTATTAGTGATAGGATGAGAAGCGATGGCCTCACGTTGCACCAGAGAAGGGTCAAGTTGGATATCAGTACCAATTTCTTCTGCAAAGAGCAGCCAGACTCTGGCACATCTGCCCAGGGATGTGGGGGAGTCCCCGTCCAGGAGGTATTCCAGAGAGTGGAGATGTAGCACTGGGAAACACGGTCAGTGGGCATGGTGGGGTGGGCTGAGGTTGAGCTTGGGGATCTTTGAGGTCTTTTCCAGCCTCAGTGATTCTGTGATGGTTGCTGTGTTTGGCAGACCCATGCAGCATGTAATGTGTTACCTTTTGGTACCTGGCTGTGGCATGTAGACCTCCCAGCATTTCATAATCCACAAATGGAAAAGTGGCACTTAAAATGAATTTATTCAGGTGGGAGCACTATAAAACATAAAAATAAGGCTTTTGAATCGCTGCACATGCATCTGAGTGTCAGTGAAAGCTCTATTTGACTGCAGAGGTAGATGCTCAGAAGTGATGTGCGACATGGGCTGGAACAAGGGCATCAGATCAGGGAAGGGTGTGAGGAAGGCAGAACCCAAACCAAAAGTTCCGTGGGGTTAATGCCAACTTTTATTTTGCACACTGCTGTTCTCCTCCCTGTTTTCTTCCCTTTTCTCCCTGACATGCCTTGAAACAACAGCGGAGCTGCCAGCAGAGCGAGTGGGTGCGTTTTCCCTTTGCTTATTTAATTTGAAGCTGTCCTTAAACATAAGGTCACTTTATAGCCTGCTCGGGGGCTGCCAGGCGCAGGAAGCTACCTTGCAAGGAAGGAACTGGCCCGTTCTGTCTAAATATTGTTGATTGTGTACCGAACAGAGACGGCTACCAAATAGTAGCTCTTTGTGCCTCTGGTCGCCTCCTGCCAAAGTACTTTCCATAATTAGGCGTAAAGCATATTTACATTCCTGTTGTCTTTGGTTGTGGGCACACACCTGTATGTGTGTGTAGAGGTGCAGGCATTCATAGTCCTGCATTCAGAAACTGCTCTGTGCCTGTGAGAGCAGCGGCAGTGGCTGATGTGTGTACCTGGGCTGTGAGCTGCCAGTGAGTTTGGGACGCCCGGTGTGAGAGACAGAGGAAAGCCATTGGGCTCATCTGCCATGCATGGTTGTTACCCTCGTGTAGAGAGATGCTTCCTTTGAACGGGAAGGCCCTGGATGAATGCTCCCATTTAAAATTCATTGGTGTTTGCATGGAAACCAGAAAAATGGGCTTAACTCAAGAATGCCATAACCTCACTTAGGAGTGCTCTCTGCAGCAGGCACTCATCACTTGCAGCCTTTCTGCTCGCACAAAGATAAATGGTGGAATAAAGGACTGTGTATAGCTGTATCTCCAGCATATTTATAACAGAGTGGTTGATGTACAACAGCTTCCTAGCATGCGTTGTTCCCCTTCCCTTTGTGATGACTGGTAGCAGACATTGATTAGTTCAGTTTGGGGGAGAAAATGTCGTGCAGGACAACTGCATCCTTTAGAGGAGATTCATGAAAGGAGTCCAAGGGGTGCTGTGTGGTCACGTGGCATTGGCTCCTCGCCTGCTTCCAGCTGCACAGCTTCATTAAAACACTGCCAAACATACATTAATTTCTCTTCTCTCGTAACTTCCCTGCATGAGCAGCAGTGTAACCTTCGCGTCCACACGATCAGGTCAGAGAGGAGAACTTGTTGTTGTGACAGAGGTTGTGCTCCATCTCCAGGGCCGGGGCTGAAGTGTGGCTGTTGGTGGCAGCTGGGAGCTGCGTGAGGCTGGGCAGCATTGGGAACTCCTGCTCGGTGTGCTCTTGGGGTGCTGCATGCAGCGCAGCGCTGCTTCCTGCTGCCCCTGCCTGCCCGGGGCGGTGTGCCACAGGCACTTGGGGTCTGCTCTCTCATGGTAGAGCTCTGATCTGGATTTGAACTTTCCCAAGATTGCCACAGCTCCAGATGCTACAGGGATTCCCAGCCCACCTCCTCTGACGGATGCTCCCTAGAGAGCTCCAAGCAGATGCTCTCAAATGGCCACCTGTGGGCTCCTCTCCATAGGAAGCTGTGGGGCTGCCGATGTGCTGGGGCAGATCCCCGCTCCTGCTGGGGGAAGACTTGGGATGGCTGTGCAGAGCCTTCCGAGCACCGAGCCATGCCTGCTCTTGCTGGGAGTGCACTTCTGTTCCGGATGCCTTCTGTGCTTCCAGGCGCTTAATGGAAATGGCAGTGCTGCTCTTGGAGGGCAGGCCGGAAAGTTTCTGCGGACTTGTCCGTGTGCCAGAGCAACATTTTTGTCGGGCGGAAGCTGATTTCCATTATGTCTTTGTCAGACTTTGCAGCCATAGAGGGGAGTTTGGGGCTTTCTGTGTCAGAGCGCTGCACAAATGTTATCCGAGGCCTTTACCTCCTGCTAACGCTGCGGTTTTGCGCTGTGCGTGGGAAGCGTCTGCCCGGGTGTTAAGCAGGGGTAGCTCAGTGCATGCACTGGAATCCT